TGTTTTCGCTATCACTGAAGCTGATCTAGAGATGTGGTGAACAGGAAGTGAAAAGGGCTGATCAGCAGCACTGAGATGCAAAAAAGAAGAAAGGTGATAAGAGTGTAAAAAAAACCATGGCAATTGTTTATAATACACAACACTTTAGTAAACCAAATGGCCAATCAGAGTTTAGACCTACATCAAGATTCCTACACGAGCCCAATTACCACTGGACCTCTTGATGCCACATGCTGATAGGTTAATTGGCTCCTGTCTCAATTGTCCCTAGTATGTGCATGTATGAATGTGAGTTAGGGACCTTAGATTGTACGCCCCTTGAGGGTTAGGGACTGATGTGAATGTACAATATATATATGTAAAGCACTGCGTAAATTGACGGCGCTATATAAGTACCTGAAATAAATAAATAAAATAAATAATGCCACACTTTTCTTTTAAACACAGTGGGGTTGATTGAAAATTGGAGAGTCCAAAATCTGGTGCAGCTGTGCATGATAGCCAATCAGCTTCTAATTTCTGCTTGTTCAATTAAAAGAGAAGTTTGGGATTTTTTTCTTTTTTAATTATATTAACCTAGGTGGATGCAGCATCAATTCGATGTTGCATCTGTCCCTCGTCAACTCTAAGGGTAATAACTGAGCGATCAAACACCGCTGATCACTCAGTTCTCCCTGTCGCTCTGAGTAGAGAGCGGTAACTGTCAGAAACCAATGTCTGCTCTGCCTCCTGCTGTTGAGGGAGCAGGAGCGGCTGGCTCAGGCTCTCAGCGGATCGCTGAGAGGCTGACCCAGGTGCCAGTCCAAGCTCCTGGGTGGATCTTGACCATATGGTCGCAATCTTTCCCCAGCCTGGACCGACTCTGTGATGTCAGCCAACGGCGGGCTCTAGTTTGCTGTTGGCTGAAAACGGGTCACAGGAGTGCAGGACGAACGGCACTCCTGTGGATTACAGAAGTACAGTCAAACGAGCTTTGGCTATACTTTTCCTTTAAGCTTTGACAAAAACAAATGGAAGAGGATTGGTTTTTATGCAGAGCTGCACTATATTTTGCACTCGCCAGTTTTAGTCAATCTCTGCCTAGTCTATTTATAAAGCAGTGAATGTGACTTTCACTAGACATTCTCTGGTAGAGAGTCAATCCCTTTCCTGTGAAACACATGGATCTGGAAGATTCTCCACCAGAGCATGTTTGGTAAAAGTCACCCTATATTTCTGTTTGCAGTGCTTTAAAGCAGCCCAGTTGTCAAAGATTGTCTTATAACTGGTTTTAGTGAGTTACTTCATTTTACATTTTGCTTTTAAAGAAGAGCTGCAAGATTCCAATTGGAATTTAGTTGGAGTATGGGGTGCTTAACACTTAACCGTTGCGCTTGTTCTTACCTCTCTACCCACAGATCCTCTGCAGCAAAGTTCAGGTCTTAGCACTCTTCAACCCTTTGTACTCTGCTCTACAGTCAGCCAGAATGAGTTTTGGGCCCCACAGATGTCCATTAAAATTCACCAACAAGCTGGTTGTAGAGCAATGCACATAGGGCAGAAGTGTCTTGGGATCCAAAATTTGGCTCTGGTGATTTTTGGGAGATGAAAGTAAGCACAAACCACATCATTATATACAGTTGTGTTCAAAATAATAGCAGTCAGATATCACTAACCTGATCAATCACTGTTTTTGGTAGAAATGATATTTCTACATGGCAAATAATTTACTAGCAGGTGTAGTAGAATAATAGAAATCCAACGGACCCAACAGTCATGACATGCATGCTGCTGATTCTGTGTAATTGAATCACTAATTGAAAGGGGCATGTTCAAAATAATAGCAGTGTGGAGTTAGTGAGGTCATTCATTCTTTGAAAAACAGGTGGCAATTATTGCCCTTATTTAAGGAAGGAAGGCAGCAAATGTTGTACATGCTGGTTACAGTGCATTTCTCTCTGAAATTCTGAGGAAAATGGGTCGTTCCAGACATTGTTCAGAAGAACAGCATACCTTGACTAAAAGGTTGATTGGAGAGGGGAAAACATTTAAAGAAGTGCAGAAAATGATAGGCTGCTCAGCTAAAACGATCGCAAATGCTTTAAAATGGCAACCAAAGCTGAAAGACATGGAAGAAAGCGAAAAAACTACCATTCGAATGGATAGAAAAATAGCCAAAATGGCAAGGACTCAGCCAACAATCAGCTCCAGGAAGATCAAAGAAGGTGTACAGTTACCTGTGAGTACTGTTACAATTAGAAGACGCCTATGTGAAGCCAAGCTATCTGCAAGAAGCCCCCGCAAAGTCCCACTGCTGAAAAAAAGACGTGCTGAAGAGGTTACAATATGCCAAAGCGCACATTGACTGGCCTAAAGAGAAATGGCGCAAAATTTTGTGGACTGATGAAAGTAAGATTGTTCTTTTTGGGTCTAGTGGCCAGAGACAGTTTGTCAGACGACACCCAAACACTGAATTCAAGCCACAGTACACTGTGAAGACAGTGAAGCATGGTTGCGCAAGCATCATGATATGGGGATTTTTCTCATACTACGGTGTTGGACCTATTTATCGCATACCAGGGATCATGGATCAGTTTGAATACATCAGAATACTTGAAGAGGTCATGCTGCCTTATGCTGAAGAGGAAATGCCCTTGAAATGGGTGTTCCAACAAGACAACGACCCCAAACACACCAGTAAACGTGCAACATCTTGGTTCCAGACCAACAAGATTGACGTTATGGAGTGGCCAGTCCAATCCCCAGATCTTAATCCAATAGAAAACTTGTGGGGTGAAATCAAAAATGCAGTTTCTGAGGCAAAACCAAGAAATAGAGAAGAACTGTGGAATGTAGTCCAATCATCCTGGGCTGGAATACCTGTTCACAGGTGCCGGAAGTTGGTTGACTCCATGCAACACAGATGTACAGCAGTTCTCAGAAACAGTGCTTATACAACTAAATATTCATTAAGTGATTCAAAGGAAAGCAAAATCTTCAAACATTTTTCAGTTTATATAGTGAATGTTTGAGTTTGTAAAGAAGAATACAAAACATATGCTATTTTTTTGAACAGTCTAATATTCACTTTTCTTCAATTTTTTTAGAGGAACAACACAAATTTGATATATTTTTCTTCATGTTTTGATTTGGAATAGAATGTGTCGTGTTCCCAATGCATTTGTGTGTATGGAAATAAAAGCTATTAGAAGGATTTTGAGCTTTATTCATTTTTTTCAAAACAGTGCTATTATTTTGAACACAACTGCATATCTCACTGCGACCCAGAGATCTTGTGATCCTGGAGTTCTTCTTTATATTAAGGCTTTTGTTTCTATATGTGTAACTATTAGTATAACTAACACTATTTTATTCACCTTTCAGGGTTATCAGGGTATGGTGGATGGTGGAGACAATATTATTGAGGTATCATGGGAGAGCGTGTCAAGCATCTTACAAGTGGTAAGTACTAAGGAACTTTAAAATCCAAACTACAGGCACGTTTTTTCTTTTACGTTTGCTGTCTTTGCTCCCATTGGGGAGGTTTTCCTCACTTTCTATTTAATGGTTCTAATACAGAACAGGAAGTGGAGAGAAATCTCCCTGAAAGGATCAGTGAAATCAGTTAGGATCTGGAAGAGATTCTACCTCTTCTTCTATGCAAAGCTACAAACAGTTTACATGGCATTTGGCTTTAATGCATGTGTTTTTATCAATTACTTCTTTGTCTGCAATGCAAATGGATGACAATGGGACATGGTACATCCAAACAAAAGCGCAGCAGGTCAAACGCAGCCTCAGAACTGCCATCTGCACTACAACATTTAAGTTATTTCATGCCTGTCTACGCAAGCCCCAATAGTGGTGGATGGTTGTCTTAAAATTTGTGGAATCTTAGCATAAGCACTCCTGATGTAAAACCCCATCTACACCCCACACCTGTGTCTTAAAATGTTTTCTTGAATAAAAACAAGCATTTTATCTGGAACCTATGTCTTACTGAGACGAAGCAGAGAATAACGTAATCCATGATCCACAGCAAAATTAGAGTCCATGGTACTTGTTCCTATATCAGCAGAAATCGCGCTGGCAGAACAACAAAAGGAAAGCAGCTGGCAAAAAACAACTACTGTAGATGAATTGTGTACAACCTAATAGAAATAAATATATTGCTACACTAAAATAAAACTGAGTAAAATGACCTAAACTGAATCTTGTATAAACAAGCACAGCCTAAACCAAAAAAATAATAATATAGTGCATACAAAAATATGTACAGAATAAAGAATTAGTTATAAGATCAGAAACATAAACATAAAAGATTCAATACAAAAGTACCAACGATGATGTGACAACAATAATACAAACGTCTTTATGTATCCACACTGTCTTCACAAAAACACCAAAGTGCCATGCCACCATGTATGTAATAGACTCTTACCAGAGCAAGTGGATTCTTTTTTGTAAAATAAGTGTCCCGTTTTAAATCTCCTCCACAACATTCCCCAGAGTAAAAAAAAAAAACACATCCAATAGCATTAGGTGTCATTCGTGGAATGAAAAGAAAGGTAAGGAAGCTCACAAAGTTTAAAACCATAGGTACAAGTTTATTTAAACATTTATTATGTCCACACACATATTATATTAAAAAGCGCTTATAGACATATAATACCGCTCCCTGGACCCAATCTGGACTCTTTCCGTATGCTAACCAGCGTGATGAGGTCACCAGCACAAGCTCCACCCTGCATGTTTCATCACAAATGACGTGGCAGCACACATGGTCAGAACAGCACCAGTTGCACAGCTCCAGATGTACACAGGACTATGTCTTTTGGCACACTGACTTATGAAGGTTGGTGCTCCCTGTGACTGTGTGTACAACCTTGTGTTGCCATCTGTTGGCATGTTACAAAACTAGTCTCAAAACTTTTTGATACCACCTCGTATATGAAAAATTTAGTTTGAGCTTACACTGTTATAAGAGTATATAGCTATTTACTTTTGTACTAAAATGTCTAATGGCTAATCTAATAAAAACATTGAACAAGAAAAACAAGCTTCCATTTCTCTTACAGGGTGGTACAGTAATTGGCAGTGCCCGCTGCAAAGCATTTCGCTCCCGTGAAGGGCGCTTGAAGGCAGCTTGCAACCTAGTCCAACGTGGCATAACTAATCTCTGTGTGATTGGAGGAGATGGCAGCTTAACCGGGGCTAATCTTTTCCGAGAGGAGTGGAGCGGACTTCTTGATGAATTAGTAAAAGAAGGTACTTTTAAATTGCCTTTGAGAAGCTTTTTACAGGGTGTTAGATTTATGATGATTCTGGGTCAATTTTACCTTAATTTTCTTATATGTTTTTAGATGTTTATATGGGTTTCCTTACATATTGTATATATACGGTACATTCACAGCATGCAAGAATATTGTCCAATAAGTGTCAAGTCTCTTCTGTGATTCACTCTCTTGTAAATTTCAGCTTGAGTTATTGATTTCTGTAAACAAAACACGTTTTACAACACTGTGATAGGGAGAAATTGGAAAGCACGTCTAAAGAAACTGAGAGCTCCACCTGCGGACCAGACAATGGGCTAAATATTATTCATATGCAATATTTAATATCTTCTGGAACAAAAAAAAAAACCTTTTTTTTTATCCTTGGTCATCATAAATAGAGAAAAAAAAAAAAATCACAATCACTATACATTTTTTTCAATACACCTTGTATGTTACAGAATACAGATAATTGGAATATTCGTGTTTATTCGTAGCGTTGCGGAGTGCAGCAAGGCTGCTGTCTAGAAAGATTGTCATCTGATCTGTCCCAAGTCACCTGTACCCAGCAACAATCTTTTTATGGTTTATGGACCTTTAATGCAAACAGTACCGGGAACATCTAGCTATGGTTATGGAAACAATTACTTTCGTGTCACCAATTAAATGAAATTTAACAGGAGTGAGTAAACCAGAATCTGCAATTATTGGATTTAGACCAATTTAACAAATTAACAGACATCTCACCAAGGAGATACAGTGCAGATCTAAACGCATTAAATGGCTAATTACAGGGTAGATATAAGAGAACTTAGGCTTTAGTAGGAGAGAGCACATAAGGACTGGCCCGGGCAGTGTCATCTATTATCTTGGTTCTAGTTGTACATCAGTGGTTAATCTTTGTCTTTTGTTCATTTTTGGCCTTTAACAAATTGTCAGAGATTAGTGTTACGCTTGAAGAACAATGAGAGGAATTTATCAAAATCAGAGAAGCCAGAATCTGGGACAGTTGTGCATGGCAACCAATCAGCTTCTGGTTTATTTTCAAATCTTAATTAAACAAGCTGAAGATAGAAACACAACTGCTGCCGCTTCTGTTTGCTCCAGTTTTGATAAATTTCCTTTAGTGTATCTATTTAACTGTCACTTACAAGGTAACTCTACAACTTGGTGAATAGGAGGTAAGACGAGTCAGATGTGCAACACCAGTCACCTTCTACCTTATTTACATTTGACCAGTTTATGAATATTTATTTGTTTTGCATATTCTTAATATGCACTAATGGGCCTTTAAATAGGGTCTTACTGTCCTTTGTAACTGCAGGCACTATGGAGCAATTAATCATCAAAGTTCACAGCTAAAAGACTGAAGTTGTTCAAGTCATCAACTCAGCAGCTCATGCTACCAAAAATGCTTTCAATGGTATACTTAACAGACCAAACAGGGAAGAAAAGGAGAAGTTTATTCTTACATTTTAATTTCAGGTCACATATTTATTAACAGTCCCATAGTTTTCCTATACCTAATCATTTAGAATGACTATATAAAGAATTCTATGAATGCAAGAACTAATATTTTATGGTTTTTTTTTTTTTTTTTAATAATTTATGTACTGAAAAATGCTATGTTAAAGGGAAAAGCTTTATTTTTTTAATTTTCTCCTAGGAAAAATTGAAGCCTCAGCTGCTGAGGAGTATTCCCATCTGAATATCGTAGGAATGGTGGGCTCCATCGATAACGATTTCTGTGGAACTGATATGACAATCGGAACTGACTCGGCCCTGCACAGAATTATTGAGGTGGTGGATGCCATCATGACCACTGCTCAGAGGTAACTGCACTGGATACTGAGAACCATGTTCACCATAAACAACGGTTGTCTCTATGATACATTGTTACATACAGGAGCGGACTGACAACTCATGGGGCCCCCGGGCAATAGGGGATCATGGGGCCCCTGTGTCCTTGCCCAAACTCAAAAAAGCCTATGAAAAAGGTACCAGGGGCATCTCATGAGGCCCCCTACTGACCCCGGGCCCTCAGGCAGTGCCCGAGTTTTCAAATGGTCAGTCCGCCCCTGGTTACATACTGACTCCATGATGTGTCAACACTGGATTGCTCAGCTGGCCCTCAGTATGGTCCTAATGAGTGTAAGCGCCATCATGTTTTTTATATATTTTTTATACAAGCAGAGTAGAGCACATGGATGAACTGCTGTTGCTACCAATAGGAGCTAGTGATTTGTATCATGGGTATTGTCATGGGGGAGACATATATGACACTGAGATGTATAGATTATGTACATATGGTAGAGGGGTGGCTACTTTCTTTGCCAGAGAGCAAAAAGAGCTTAAAGTAACATGTGCTTTGTCCATCCAAGGCAAAACAACATATAATTTAAAGCAGAACTCAACACATCGATTTAGCTATTTCCCAAAACCGTTACATCTCAGTCATGCTATGAATGATAACGGTCACAGTTGCTTGTGCTCTCAACTGAACTGTCAAGCCATTAAATGGCTGGTGTCATAACTGATCACATGTGTAGCACAATGGCAACTGCAGATCAATCAGAGACCAAGCAGGCGTCTCCAAACTATGGCCCTCTAGGTGTTGAGGAACTGCAAGCCCCATGAGGCCTTGCAGGACTCTGACAGCCACAGGCAAGACTTCCAGAGGCAGAGGCTTGATGGGATTTGTAGTACTTCAACAGCTGGAGGGCCATAGTTTGGAGATCCCAAAGGATAGAAGTGTTTAATTTGCTATAACTCCACCACTCAAGAGGAGATTAAGGGGGATATGATCAATATGTTCACTATGGTTCATATAGTGAACTCGGTGTAGAGCTATTCCCCCTGAGGTCATCACAGAGGACAAGGGGGCACTCTTTACATCTGGAGGAAAATAAATGTAATCTCCAAACACGGAAAGGTTTCTTCACAGTAAGAGCAGTGAAAATGTGGAATATACTCCCTCAAGAGTTGGTTCTGGCCAGCTCAGTGGATTGCTTTAAAAAAGGCCCCGATTCTTTCTTAGGTACACAGAATATAACTGCATACTAACATTTATAGGTAAAGTTGATCCAGGGAATATCTCATTGCCTCTCGGGTGATCAGGAAGACATTTTTTTCCCTGAAGGAGCAAATTGGATCATGCTTTGCTGGGGTTTTTTTTACCTTCCTCTCGATCAACTGTTGGTATAGGATTAAAACTTTTAACTTTTTTTTAATGGTTGAACTGGATGGACTTTTGTCTTTTTTCAGCCAGATTAACTATGTAACTATGTAACTCCTATGCTCCGGCATAGTGTACTTATATGATAGATGTTACTGTATGCCCATCCACACTACAAAACGCCTGCAGTCTGTTTTTATCTGCTTTTTTCTGCATAGTTCTTTTTTCGAAGGCATGTTTCCTCTAACCCAGTGGTCGGCAAGCCGTGGCTCGCGAGCCACATGCGGCTCTTTACACACATTAATGCGGCTCTTCTGTGTGCCGGGTGCCCACTCCCCTCCCTCTTCTCGGGCGGCTGCCCCAAAAGTCAGGACTCTGCAGCTAGCCCAGCAATGGGCAAATTACGGCCCGCATACGGCCCGGCGGACCTTTTAATCCGGCCCGTGGAGCGTGGCAAACATTGGCTGTCAGGATGTAGGCGGGGCAGCGTGACGAACTCCTCTCACAGTCCGCCCTGAAGACCGGAACGGCGCGGGAACACGGCGAGAGGAACGCGCGGAGCAAAGGTAAGTGAATTGACACAATATGGGGAATGAATTACTATAGGGGGGATGAATTACTATAGGGGGGATGAATTACTATATGGGGGATGAATTACTATGGGGGATGAATTACTATATGGGGGATGAATTACTATATGTGGAATGAATTACTATGGGGGATGAATTACTATATGGGGGATTAATTACTATGGGGGATGAATTACTATATGGGGGATGAATTACTATATGGGGGATGCATTACTATGGGGGATGAATTACTATATGGGGGATGAATTACTATATGGGGGATGAATTGCTATGCGGGATGAATTACTATGGGGGATGAATTACTATGGGGATGAATTACTATGGGGGATGAATTACTATGGGGGATGAATTACTATATGGGGGATGAATTACTATATGGGGGATGAATTACTATAGGGGGGATGAATTACTATAGGGGGGATGAATTACTATGGGGGATGAATTACTATATGGGGGATGAATTACTATGGGGGATGAATTACTATATGGGGGATGTATTTTCAGTTTTAAAAATGTGGCTCTCAAAATAAATTTCAATTGTGGTTTTGGCGAGATTTGGCTCAGTTGAAAAAAAAGGTTGCCCACCACTGCTCTAACCTAACTGTTGTGGGTGAGAGGTGCAGTGCTGAGCATTTGTGTGCGTTTACACGCATTTCTGTGAGGTGAGATGTTATGTAAGTATGTTGCATAAAATTGCACAGCTCTGGAACACAGAGAAACACAATGTTCTGGTGTGAACATGACACATAGAAAGCTATTGTGAAAAAATACAGTTAACTGCACATAGTGTGAACAGGCCCTTATTCAAAAAAAGTTTGTATGGGGAGGATGTGCCAAGAGGAACTAGAGGAAGCTCTATACTTCATTCAGCCATTTCACTCTTCTTAAAGTGTTACTAAACCCACAACAGTAAAACCAGACTGTATATGCAGTAAAGCATGATTGTTATACTCACTGTGGAACCTAAGGCGTTAATCCTCTGCATTGTTTAATAATGCTGTTTGATCCTGACCTCTCTGATCCTCCTCTTCTTCCAGTTTCTCCCTCTTATCTCCTAATAAGACATATCGTGTGGAATCACTCTGCACATGCTCAGTTTGCTGTGTATTGCTAGAGCGGTTTTTGTTTTGGGAGAGTATATGTGATCACCACAGGGCCAATGAGCACTGTCTAGACAGAGGTCAGGGATCCTGCAGCCTCATAGGACAATCAGAGGAGAATGAAAACTCCTCCTACAAGCTTTAACCAGTACTCTGCTGAACATTGATAGAAGTCACAAGACTGCTGTATACTGCTAATGAGAAGAGGTATTTAGAAGTTTATATTTACTAAAATAATTGTACATACAATTATACATAATAATTGTACATGTTCTGTGTACTGTTGGAGGTCAGATAGAGGCAGGGGCAAACTGACAACTCATGGGGCCCCCGGGCAATAGGGGATCATGGGGCCCCTGTGTCCTTGCCCAAACTCAAAAAAGCCTATGAAAAAGGTACCAGGGGCATCTCATGGGGCCCCCTACTGACCCCGGGCCCTCGGGCAGTGCCCAAGTTTCCAAATGGTCAGTCCGCCCCTGGATAGAGGGAATGTAAGGTCCTGGGTTTAGTAACACTTTAACTGCTGCTGAGATACAGTAAAAGATCAGCTGCACAAGGAGTGCATTGTCTTTAGTGAGTCGGTCAACTCATAGGGGTGTATTTATGAAATAAAATCACATAGCTATTTGTCCAGTGAAAATGCTGGCACATTTGTTCTGTGCAAATGGGCAAGATCAAATGTTTTCAGGCTTTAGTTATTCATTCGTAAGTATAGAGTGGTTCAGAATAATCCTACATTATGGCCACTAATTCGAACTGAGAGTTATAGTAAGTATTTATGTCTTATCATTCTCAACTCCATCCAATGGCCATAATGCAGTATTTTTCGGAATCATTCTATTTGTATGAATAAATAACAGTCGGCCTGTAGAGGAAATAGGAGAATGTTTGATTTTTTCCCCATGTGCACAAAACAAATGTACCAGCAGTTTTGCAAGTCGAATCGCTATGTAATTAGTTTTTTTATTAATACATCCCATAGACTTGCATTATGACAAAAAACAGAAAAGCACAAACATTGCATAGTACTGCATAGCTGGAAGTGGAGTCTGTAATGATCAAATATGGCCATTGCCATGTACAAATATGATTACAAATGAAACATAATTTTGAAAACATTTAAACACATTTTTTTTAGGTCAAGCTGATCTCTTTTTTACATGTATATCTAAAATATAATTTGGAAAGACTATACATTTCCTTTTACAGAAGAATTCCATGTTGTGTTAATGAAAGTGTTTGTCTTACCCATAGTAATTCTCCATTCACAGAGGAGTCAGACAGAAAAACATTTAATTATTTCTGATGACATTCAGTGGAGCACTCAATTTTATTTTACTGTGGACTCGATGACTCACACTTTAATATTTCCCAGTCACCTTTACTCTGAAGCCTTTTCTTGTTTGTCCAGTATTGATGAAAATGGTTTTCTTGTCTGGTTCTTGGCTTCAGATTCCGGAAATACTTTCATACCGTATTTCAGCACAATGACCTTTGTTAGATGACAGTGAAGTCTACATATGTAATTGTCAGTGAATTTACTGTGGAGGGTTCCTCATATTTAATTTATACCTATTTCTATTATTTATGAATACCCATTTCCAGGACAGGAACATTTAAAATTGCATTTAGAACTTCTTATTTAACTTTGATTAACATACAGTACATAAAAATATTACAATTCCACTTACTTACATTATAGCACATTTCCAGAGACCTAGTAAAAGGTCTGACCATTCAGCAGTCATGAAACCAGACCTGCTAGTGTATAGACAGTTTAAAGGCAACAAATTCAATGATGCCTCATGCACATGGGTGTACGACAGCAGACACGCATGCGGCGGCTGTAATTGTCCACATAGGAATGCCATTAATTGGTGTGCCGACAGTCACATTCGTGTAACAGATAATAAAACAAATTGTAGTGAGCGCTCTTAAATACATACAGCAGCTTGAACACTCCAGGT